GAGAGAGAGAGAGAGAGAGAGAGAGAGAGAGAGAGAGAGAGAGAGAGAGAGAGAGAGAGAAAGTGAGAAAGAGAGAGAATATATAGGATTACGGTATTAAAGTTTTCATAATTTGAAAGAGAGGAAAAGCTTAAACATTTTTATTTAATATTCTCTTACACGGAACTACCGTGTCCTCGTTACATTGAAGTCAACTCTAGCAGTTATATAAATATAGAAGTCCTACAATTAATCTAATAATGAAATTAGCATATTTAATCATGAACTAACACAAAAATTATTCCTCAATGTTTGCTGCATACAAAAGTGCAAAATTCCTGGCAAATAATCAACATTAAGCGAAATCTATATTTTTAATACACTTTATAAAAGAAAATGTATACTGTTAAATTGTATCCTTTCTATCTGAGTCCATAGTCTGTACATTGTATAAACATAAATGAAAAAGAAATGAAATAGAATTAAACTTTAAAAAAATGTAAGCCTTTTGAAGAACATATTACCAACGTTCTAACTCGCCACAAAAGTGGAAATGAACCACTTTCCTGAAGAAAGAAATACAAAACACGGAAACAAAACCAGAACCGTTCTGTAGGCGTAGGGCGTGGGCGAGGCGGACAGGCGGCTATTATCTGCGGTTGGGGCTTCCTCCGGTCCGGCCCAGGCTGGCGAATTTAGGTCCCGCGAGACGCGATGACGCTGACGATCCGGCAGCGATGGGTGTCCACTCCAGGAAATTTTAATCGAGTGGCGCAGGAACAGCGGGGAAAGTTGGGAATTATGCGGTTTGACAGCTTTGGAAGATCGTCGCATTCAAATGCCTAGATCAGGGTTGTCCAACTGCCAGCCCGCCATACCATTTATTGAGGCCCGCGAAAGGTTATTAGAAGAGGGGGGATTTTAATGAAATGTCATATTTTTCTCTTTTCTTTAGAACAGTGCCGTTTAGTTTAGATATCCATTTTATGTTATGACGAAACAAAATGACCCATTTTTATAATTTGTGTTTGCATTTTTCGTCGATTTAGATTAATAAGTCATTTTTACTTTTTTACATCATTTCTACTGCATTTTCAGCGCATTTCATCGATTTTAATATCATTTAAATGGTACTTGCTTAAAAAGTATTTACGAGGTGCAACAAATGTTCACCACAGAACTCCTGAGTAGCCTATTCGATTTCTTCGCTCATATATTGTGAAGTCAGCTGTTGTGAGTACTATGTAATCTTAGGTTTCTGAGACATTAATCGGCGCCATTGTCAGTTCGTCCAATTTTGCGATAAATTAAGGTAGATATTTTATTTTAAAGAACAATCCAAACTCAAAGTTTGCCAGCTGAGTTCACTTGAACAAAGGGAAGAAGCATCGATTACATCAATAACAGCTTAAGTTGTTCATTTGAAGTAGTTTTGATAAAAAAATTTACATCATTTTTCTTTGTTTTCTGGGCATTCTTAAAGAATTTTAGGAGCATTTTATTGATCATTTTTGGCAATGTGTTAGATCATCAAAATACGCTCCCTAGTTATTACTCAAATGTAAAAGTCCCTTGCATAAATACTGGGGTCAACACCCACGTAATGTAAAAAGAAAAAGGTTAGGTTTAGTTGTAAGAATTTATTTTCTAGTAAATTCATAAATTCAAAATCATCCCAATATGTTTCATTGTGTTGTGCACGGTACGGGGCGATATCACGCATAGTTCCATTTCGCCTCCCGCCG